TTTTTTTTTTTTTTTTTTTTTTTTATTTATTTATTTAATTAACATGAAATAATTAATTAAATTAAAATAAAAATTTATAATTTAATTATAATTATTATTTTATTATTTATTTATTTACTTATTCAATGCATAAGAAGAAAAAAAAGAAGACGGCAGCGCCTCGAGGTGTATGCGCAGGTTGCGGTATATATAATGTGTGCGTACACTCGGTTGCTGCAGCAGCAGCAGCAGCAGCAACAATAGCAATTTACAAGAAAAAGATAAAAATATTGAAATTTTTATCTGCATACATTTACTATTTAATTTATTTTCTTTTTCTCCTTTTTTTTCTCTTTTTTTCCCCTCTTTTGCACTGTCTGTACACCCGACACCCCCCAAGACAGCCGCCGCCGCCGCAGCAGCAGCAGCAGTGTGCACTGCATGCAATCAGCAGCAGCAGCAACGAAATATTTATTTTTTAATTTAATTTAATTTATTTTATTTGTATAAAAAAGAACAATTTTCTTATTCTTCCCTATTATTTAATCCTTTAGGTAAATTATAACTAGCCACATTGCTGCTGCTGCTGCTGCTGCTGCTTCTACTGTTGCCGTTGCTGCTGCTGCTGCAGCGGAGGGCAGCAAAGAAACGAAAATAGTGTGTATGTATTTTTATTTCCTCCTTATATGCATGCAAACAGAAAACACACACACACTAAGAAAAAAAGGCACTCCTTCCTGCTGCTGCTGCTGCTGCGGCGGCATTATTTGCTGCTGCTGCAGCTGCTGCCTAGTGACACACAACTATTACATACAGCTGTTGTTTGCTGCAGCAACAGGGAACCTGCTAGCTGCCTATGTGCAGGTATACCAGTAACCTTCGCTACCTATACACCTAACTGTTGTTGCTGCTGCTGCTGCAACTGTTGCTGCTGCTGCTGCTGCTGCTCCAGCAGCAGCTGCTTCTGCTGTTGCTACAATAAAGAATATCTACATTATAACAAAGAACACTCAAACAAATAAATGTAAGAGTTAGAAGACGGTGCAGCAGCAGCAGCAGCAGCAGCAGATGGCTGCTGCAGCAACATATCAAGGGGCCCCCGCCCTTCAGGGTTTGGGGGGCCCCCATCATTCGTGCTGCAGCAGCGCATCTTTTTGCTGCTGCTGTTTTGCTGCTGCTTCTTTTGCTGCCGCTGCTGTTCTTGCTGCTGTATACATTAATAAAATATACACAAAACAACACACTGAGGGGGCAGACACAACTATCCTGCTGCTGCTGCAGCAGATGCTGCTGCTGCGGCTGCAGACTCTGCTGCTGCTGCTGCTGCTACAGGAGACCCTGTCACCCTTTATCTGCCTGGTTGTTGGGTGTCTTGATTGCATAATGTGCTGCTGCTGGTGCTGCAGCAGCAGCAGCAGCGCAGCAGAAGCATCCCTAAGTGTCGGTATCTATTTATCCATCTGTATACCTGCGTATACAGCTGAAATTGCAGCAGCAGCAGCAGCAGCCGCTGCTGCTGCAGTAGCAGCAGCAGGACGAGCATGGGACATGATGAATATATATATATATATATATATTTAGAATCGTCTTGCTGCAGTTGCTGCTGCAATAGGTGCTCCTGCTGCTTCTAATGCATGCAGCAGCTGTGCTGCAGTAGGCAGCAGCGGGAGTCCGTGCTGCTGCTGCTGCAGCGCACTCCATACAAGATCCTCCTCAAAGAATATCTCAAAGGCAGCAGACTGCAGCAGCAAATTATTAAGAATAGATCCCCCTAAGAATACAGCAGCAAGGAGCAGCAGCTTGTTGCCTTCTGCTGCTGCTGCTGCTGCTGCTGCACGTTCTTGGGAAAGGAATAAGGGTAATAATTGACGTGGTAGCAGCAGCAGCAGCAGCAGCAACCAACGAACTATACCTACACCTGCTGATATATACTGCAGCAAAGGGGCAGGCTCGTACTGCTGCTGCACTACACGGAAACCTTCATTATCTCCTAGCTGCTGCTGCAGCAGCAAACTTATTTGCTGCAGCGCAGCAGCAGTTCCTCATGACGGACAATATTGTATTGTTACTTGATTAGGAGTTATAACAGGAGGGAGAGGATTGTGTGGCTCTAATAACCATCTTAAGCTGCTGCTGCTGCTGCTGCTGCTGTTGTTGTTGCTGCTGCTGCTGCTGCTGCTGCTGCTGCTGCTCGGGCTGTATTGGAGGTTGCTGAGGACGGAGATGACAGAGGGAAGAGCAATAAGGACACCCAACACAAGCAAAGGTAACAGACCGTTATCTTGCTGCTGCTGCTGCTGCTGCCTTGCCTGACGTTGCTGACGCTCCCGTTGCTGCTGCTGCTGCTGCTGCTGCTGCTGCTGCTGCGCTGCAGGGCGACCTGCCAATTCCTGAGGCCCTGGAGGTTCCTCCATTTGCCAATTAAATGGCAAAAATAAACGACGAAGAAAAGAAGAAAAAAAAAAGAAAGAATTAAACAACAGATGAATGAGGTGTATGGACTCCTCGGAGGTGCACGTGCTGCTGCTGCTGCTGCTGCTCCTTACTCCTGCAGCTGCAGCTGCTGCATGCACACACACCTCACGGTCCCTGCTGCCTACAAGCAGCAGCAAAAAAAGAAAAAGTTTTAATTAATAATATACTGAATAGATATACAAACAATGCTTCTTTCCCCTTATGCTGAAGCTGGTCCCTTTTGCTGCAGCAGCAGCAGCAGCTGCTGCTGCAGCAGCAGCTGTACTCCTGCTGCAGCTACTGCTGCGGCCCGACCAGGGGCCCCACACATGCTGCCGAGACCGGCAATCCAGCAGCAGGGTCCTATGGTTCCTGCTGCTGCTGCTGCTGCTGCGAACTGCAGCAGCAGCAGCAGCAACTCGTTTTAATTTATATTTGCTGCTTCCTTTTTGTTTTTAATGGACTTTTAAATGCATGCAGCATCAGCAGCAACCATCTAGCAGACAGCAGCAGCATCTGCTGCTGCTGCTGCAGCAGCCAGCAGTGGTCTCAGTCGGCAGCGGCCTCTACATTGAATCGCAGAAGCAGCAAAGCAGCAGCAGAGCAGCAGCAGCAGCAGCTACAGCAGCAACAGAAGCACAATAAACAATTATAGGAGAGGAAGCAATAGCAGCAAAAGTTGCTGCTTTTCCTCCAGCAACCCTTTTCCTTTACTCATAAGGACCTTCCGTGTTGCTGCAGCAGCAACTACTCCAGCTGCTGCTGCCAGCATTGCTGCTGCTGCTTCCTCTACTATTATTCCTGGCCCTGCTGCTCCTGCTCCTGACGAAGCAGCGGGAGTCAAAGGAGCAGCAGACAGCCGCGCAGCAGCAGAAGGCTCCCTACGCCACACCACCACTGCTGCAAGCTTGCAGCAGCGCTAGCTGCAGCAGCAGCAGCAGCAGACGCAGCAGCAGCAGCCGCAGCAGCAGCGCGAATGCCTGAAGCAGCAGCAAGATGGCGTCACTGCTGCGGCGGGCAAAGCCGGGCCCCCCCACTCCTGCAGCTCCGGCACCAACGAAGCCTGCTGCTCCTGCAGCAGCAGCAGCAGCAGCAAAGAAGACGAAGCAACCCCTAACCTTAAAAGAAAGGCAGCAGCAGCAGCAAGCCCTTCGTGAGCGGCTGCTGCAGCAGCAGCAGCAGCAGCACGGGAAGACATTTGCTGCTCCTAAGCTTAAGACTAAATTTGTATCAAAGGTTAAGCATCCTGTTGCTGCATTAGATGCTGCTGCTGCGAAACCAGCAGCAGCAGCAGCAGCAGGAGCAGCAGCAAAGCCTGCAGCAGCAGCAGCAGCATCAGCAGCAACGCAACAGGAGGCCACCAAGGCAGTACCTGCCGCTACAGCAGCTGCTGCCCCTGCGAAGACAGCAGGTGCAGCAGAACCACCAGCAGCAAAGCCAGCAGCAGCAGCAGCACCAGCAGGGCCCCCGAAGCCGAAGCCTCTATTGCCTGCTGCTGCTGCTGCTGCAGATCCTGGTGCAGCAAAGATTGTAGTGGTACCCAAGGGGCCCCCAGGGGCCCCCAAAGGGGACCTTGGTACCTCTCCCCCACCCCCTAAGGGGCCCCCTTCTCTTACAGTAGCACCAAAGGGGCCCCCAACTCTTGCCATAAAACCCAAGGGGCCCCCATCTCTTGCTGCAGTTAAACCCAAGGGGCCCCCAGGGCCCCCCGACACAGCTAAGGAGGCCCCTAAGGAAGCAGGGAAAGCAGGAAGCAAGTTGCCTGCAGCAGGAACAGCAGCAGCAAAGCCAGCAGCAGCAGCAAAGCCAGCAGCAGCAGCAGGAGCAAAGCCAACAGCAACAAAATTAGTACCTTCAGGAGCAGGAAAGCCAGCAGCAGCAGCAGCAGCAGCAGGAGTAGCAGCAAAGCCAGCAGCACCAAAGAAAAGTCTTGCTGAGTTGCTGGCAGCAGATAAGGGAGGAGCTGTATTTAGGAAGGCACAAGAAGAGGAGGGGGCCCCCAAAGGGGGCCCCCCTTCTGCTGCTGCTGTTCGTGGTGG